TGCTATTAATCATTTTAACAAGATAAACCAATCCATTTCTGAGCTGCTTTTCACAAGGCCTGTCCATCATTAATGTCTCAAGCTTGTAGTAAAAAAAAAAAAAAAATCAACCAGGGAAATTCTTTTCTAACATACACTTTAATATCAAAACAAAAACTATAAAAAAATCTATTTGTGCGTTTTCTTCCCATTTTAGTCTGAGTCATTTCAACTTTCAAATATATTTAGCCAATTTCAACTAAGTTTAAAAGATGGCACGAACCTCAGAAAATAATTAAGCTTCAAGTTCCCTAAAACTATAGCTGTGTAGAAGAAAGGAGAAATAAATGGGTATTCCCTGTGAGAGAAGGGCAAGATGAACTCGGCTGCTACACACTGTACTTGTCAACAGCCAATCTTGGCATCAGTCTGTACTGCTTTCTGTACAGTGGGGTCGGAGCAGCAATTGTTGTCAGTAGTGGGGAGGTTAAAGGTTCCAGAAGAAAACACAGTCCAGGTCTGCTGTTTAGAGAACAGTATGTTAAGAAGTCATTTATCTTACCAAATTTCAATGTTGGTTGTTTTTTTTTTTTCCTTCAGGAATTACTAACTCAAAGTTAGGACTCAAATCCACAAGCTTTCATAGGAAAGCTTACTGCTTGACAGTACATGAAATCTACCAAGAGCAACAACTAATAGCAGTTTACTTCTTCTGTACTTACCTCCATAAGTAAAGGTCTCTGGCCTATTGCTGCCATTCCTTGAAGGGCATTGACTTCTGCAACCAGAACTCTGTGAAGGTACTGAAATTAAAAAGTTAAAAAAGAAACTTTAATGACAAGGAAAATGTTTTTGTCCCTCCTAAAAGTATTTAGGAGATGGCTACATGATGACAGATGCAACTAAATGACAGATTCAAATAAGTTTTACTCATTTTTTAGGCTTCTCCCATACTTCATTCTCTAACTGCAGTACTCCTAGCTGTTTAGTCTCTCTCCCTGCTCACTGCACTTCTCATTTTTGCACTCCTTCATTTCCCTCTGGTCCTAAGTTGTTCTGTCCTTTCACAAGCTCTTCTACCACACCACACTCCCTTTCCTCTTCAACCTCCAGTACAGTCCTCTTGCACAGATGAAAGAGTTTATTTCCTCTCAAGTCAAAAATACATTTTACAGTATAGAATAGCTGATTCCTAATACAGAATAGCTGCATTCCTATCACCATCAATATCACTTTTACATTACGTTCCACTCCTGCTCCATCCCTTGTCTCTCAGATCACAATTTTTTCAGGACTATTTATCATACATTTGTCAGGTACTCATCACAACATGAGACTATCTTAACTAAAGCCTCTAAGAACTACTGTAGTACACAACTATGTTGTGCATGTAACTGTGTACACATATGTAGTACCTCATAGTTGTGTACTGGAGACCAATGAAATGCATAAGGTAGATGTCACATCTGCAGTATCACTTGAGTGTTCCAAGATGGGAGAAACATTAAGACACTAAAGATTTCCTGAAAGTGTCTTAAAGTGATGCATCTGTCTACTGCAAACAAGAAATCAGTGTGTGCAGAAGAAATAAACTAATCGAAATAGTTTGCATAAATTATGTGCATATCTGAAACAGCTAGACATTTTATGTGAAAGCAAGTTTCAAAGTATTATTAGTATACTGATCGTTTTTATTATTCAAGATATAAAATAGCGCATGCAACTTGAGAACATAGACCACTGCGCACCTTGACGTTGCAGATCACTTGTCCACGTGCATTCTTGTGCTCACAATTAGCAATGACTTGCTCGATCTGAACCCGGTCAAAAAAATCCAGTTGTAAAGGCTCTGGAATGTCCTGACTGAAGTCAATTGAATCCAGGATACTTAAGATCTTCCTGCGAACTGGAAATGTAAATCAATTCAAACTGTATTCAGAAATATCAAGGGAAAAAACAACAAAAAAAAAGACAATAGGAGCCTAACTTGTCTTTGTATATCTAAATCTTAATGTATAAAGTTTCAAAATAAAACACCAAATCTTCAGAAAGTGCTATTAATCTATATAAGGGGTTAACAAACATTTTTTAGAGCCTTAAATTCTTAACTTGTGTTATACTGTATTGTTCTCCTGTTATGTATGCATGTAACCCAATATTTACAAATACAAGATGCTAGCGGAAGGTGTCCCTGCCCATGGCAGGGGAGTTGGAACTAGGTGATATTTAAGGTCCCTTCAAACCCAAACCATTCTATGATTCTGTGATTCTAATTTTTCCTCCGTAACAAAAGCAGGCTAGTTTTCAATGAGAACATGCAGTCTTTTGTTGAGACTTAGAAACATTACAAGGAATCTGAAGTTACTTACTTGGGTTTTATATTATTTGCCATGGAAATACAAATATGTTCAGCCTTAGCAACAGTCTCACTGTTTTTACTGTCAGCAGTAAATTTATAGACTGTCACCCTCCTATTCTGCCCTTCCATATATACTTAAACATAGACTCTTCTAACTTCCTTCCCAGTCCAGTGTTTTCCTCTAGATATTCAATTATCTACATCAAGGTTCTAAAATTCACTTTTTCCCCCCACACTAAACAAAACTGTTCCACATAGTGCTGCTGTTTAGAAAGTCTATTATTTTCTTTTTTCAAAGTGTCCTTTCTAGTGGTGGCCCTCTCCCCATTCAGGATCAGAAAAAAATTACTGAGAAATAATCAGCAGCTATAATGCTTACCTTTGGAAGCAGTGTCAAAGTGGAGAAATCTACTGACTGATCGACTTTCATCTTCCATCCCTCCTTCACCATCAGCTGAAGGCAATGAAACATAAGAAATAATTGGGAAAAAAAAATAGAAGTGAAAAATACCACCTACTTTATTAATGCCGAAAGACTTAGAGAGGCACACTGACAAACCTTTCACGTGGAAGTCTTCTAATACAAATACAGCCTTGACTATTAACAACATGAAAACAGTACTTATCTCACAGAAGCCACCCAATTATCAAATACAGATTAGACAGTACTACAAGTTTCTAAAGACACCTCACCCTCCAGTATGAATAACGTAGTTGGATGAACACTGTAAAGTGAGTAAGGTATCTGGACACAGTTTCCTGTACTCAGATCTCCACAAGGATGGAGAGACAGTATTCAGACCTATAAAAGTGAGGGAAAACATCATACCTGCTGCAGCCCGTTACATCTTCCAGTTACTCTGTTTGTTGTCTTCATGTAAAGAGTTTTATTGCCACCTGTTTCTATTTCTCTTGATTCACACCACTTCTCTGTTCTGAAACTCTGAAACCTTGCCTGTTTAACTAACGTTGCATTTTACATCACACTGGGATGAAACACCATTTTTGCGATGTTATAATGTCAAAAGCCAAATTAACCTGTAGCTACTATCTTCTGTGACAGAGGGCTGAACATGTGTCACAGATAGACAGAAATTAAGACAGAAAATTTTGTCTAAAACTGTTTATCAAGGAAGACCCTCCACCTTCTCTACACAATTACAATTCTGGATAGCATCCCAATTTTTTTATTTTTTAATATTCTCCTCTCCTACTCATAAACTATGTTTTATTTTTTATACCAGTGTATACACTGAGATGTTTCAAAAATGAAACACAAACAAAGCAGCAATGAAAGAGATTTCTTTCACTTTGGAGTCTATAACCACCATCATCTTTCTTCCATGTCTCTATTGGCAATTCAAGACCCGCTATCACAAATGAATTGTCACAAGCTTATAGAGAAAAGAATTCAAATAAAGTCTCTCATACTTCTGTTTAATCAAGCTTATTTACCCTCACAATAAATTCCTCTTACCCAAGTATGGTTTCACAGGCATGTCATCAAGCAGCAGATGCAGCAGTCTCTGTGTGTGGGAGCGCTGGCGGGTCAGCGGTGTCCATCGCATTTCTATAGCTGCAGTCTTCATCAGCCAAGACATTTGGTTCAGTGTTGAAATCTCGTGTTCTGGGTGGGAATAAGGAAACAATTATCAAATTGAATATAAATAATTTTACTTACTCCAAGGAAAGCACTTTTCAGAAAACTTTTAGAGGATGTCATCACTTATTATCTGCTCACCATTTGTTTATGAGACAAAAGGACAGAGATCTGACAAAAGCCATTAAGTGAACATGTGAATATTGCAAAAACAAATCATACACGTACACAAAAAAATCTGGATATAACCCGTACTAACAGCCATTGTGGAGAATTCAGTGCTTCATGAGCAAATAGAGTCAGTTATAATCTCAGGGAAAATCATCAGACATTTACCCAAAATGAACTATAACTGTAATCCAAGTTGATAAGGCTTGAACATGGGTCTCCAAGAATCTTCATATTCTATATTCACCTAATTTAGATTCTTAAGTCATATAAGAATCATCTAAAGTACTTTACCCATGCTGGATACATATATTCGAATGCTAAATTCACTATAATTTACCAAAGGACTAGTGGTCAAGCATCTGATAAAATGAATAAATACATTTTCATTCAGTTCAAGACACCTGAAAAATGTTGGTCTGAAACACTAAAAACACATCTCTTAACTTAAAAATTAATACCATCACCAAATAAAAATTCTTTATTCAAAGGAAGAGAAGATACAGGTGGTTACAACCACCAGTCTTCTGTTCTCTCAGTTCTTTGTAGCATTCTTAATTTTCAAAAATAGTTTTCATTTTTTCCTGTAGCATAATCTAACAAAACTACAATGATAATTGAAACATAGATTAGGACTTGCTTCTGGAGACTTGATGCATTTCAAAACTAACACTTTTTTTGTAAAAGTTCAGCGCTAATAATCTGAACTTCCTAAACAGATAAAGTTCAATCTTTGCAGAATTAAAAGGTTAGCAGAGGCAGTAATTAATTCAGTTTACTAATGCTACCTGTTTCTTCTACAATTCCTAGGGAGTCAAAAGACGCATCGAATTTTAAGCATGCACAATCTCATGTTAATATAAAAATTACCTTTGATAGAAAATGGCAAATACTGCAGCTGAGTGAATAAGAAATCCTGACTGGTCCTCAGATATCTCATAGTTGGACCTGATGTGTCAGAGCATGCACACAACTGATAGATCACCTGAAAATTAAAAACCATAGATACCCATTTATGGAATTTTAAAACAAACCAATCACCAAATCAAAAGATGCATAACACTGTTTTACTGCTCAAACAATATTACCTGTATCTACAGTAAGTCTTCCATCAGCTTACTCCAAAGCTGAGCATATTATTTATAACAGATATTGAATTACGATGTTAAAGGTCTACCAGCATGTGGATGATTCCAGTAGCAATCTGCCCACACATGACACTATATAAGCCTTTTTGTTTGTTGAGCTCACTTAAAAATGAGTCTTTTTCAGTCTCCAGGTTCACCAAGACAGGAAATGTCATCTCTTTTTTTTCCTCCTTCTACAGTATGGCCTCTATCTCATTTAATAATGTTTAAAATCCTTTCTAGATTCCACATATTTTAAACATGATACAGGTGTGTAATCATATGATTCCATAATTTAAGGCCAAATATCAGGTACCTTCCACATTCATCTAATTCAGCTATGTTCCCCATCTCACCCCCTCAGACAAACTTACATACATACGTTCTGTCACTGCAACTGAATAAAGAAGATAATTTTATTGGCTTATTTGGGATTATTTGTCATCTTACTTGCTGGCAAACTGCAGTTCCAAATTTAAAAACAAACAAACACAAAAAAACCCCAAAAACCCACAACCCTGGCATACGGTCACAACAGATTCAAAGGCTCACCAAAAGTGTTTAGAACATTAGTTTTATAAGTACATCCCAATTCTAAGCTCTGACACGAGTGCAGATTCTTTATTTTCTGTGCTGCTATAAGGTAATACTTTTTCCCCACAGAAAAAGGTAGAATAGAAAGAGTTTATGTATATAGAAACCTGACAGATGAATTTTAAAAATGAAACTACTACCAAAATCTTCAACCATTAGTGTTCACCAATCAAGAAGTAGCTAATTTTATTTAGAGCCTTCTTTCAGTATACGCCAGAATACCTGGTAACAGAGTTCTGCAAGATGAGGAGATTCCTGAACTGCTGTAGGCCCATTCCTTGTTTTGGTACCCTTCTTCAGTATGTCCAAAATAGCATGAAGGCAAGTCCGTGGACAACCCAAGACACCTTAAAATACAAAACCAATTTCTTAACATTCTTGATCTCACTTGAATTCATCGCAAATATAGGTTAGTACACAGAATTACAGAAACTAAATTGTTCAGATACCTTGGGCTGCACTATACTGCTCCACAGAGCTGCAGCAAAAATATCTGGCAAAGTTTTTTCTCCGTTAATTAAAATAAAAGAAGGAATTCAGTTTCAGCAAAAATCTAAATAAAACATTTATAGTTAGTCTGTAGGCTCTTGAGGTGCTTGCAAAAGAGGATAAATTATGCAATCAGAACTTATTTAAGAACTTTCTTTTCAGTTTTATAAAAAAAAAATCATTTATTCTTTAATATTAAGCATGAAGCAAATGAAAATTTGGATTCTTGCTTTTAAACTTTAACTGAATACTCATTTGACAATTTCAAAGAAGAGCTTTAAATTCCTGTCTTTATTTTACAATTACAGCCATTTTATGACTAATGCTCCTAAAAGCACCTGACACTGCAACCAAGGGGAACGGGGAGGAGATTTTAATACTGAAGTCAAAATCCTGTCTTTTTGCATTCTTCCTTTAGTCGATTAATTCTTTAATCAACTCAGAAAGATGTCCTGAAGCAGTAAAGGGATCAATAACCACAGTTCTTACAGAGGAAATCATCTTCTCTCTCTGGACACATATAATTTATGCTTTAGTAGGAAATTATTATCTCGAAGGAAATGGCTTATGGTCATTATTTCTTCACATTATTAGTGAAATAATTCAGAGGTGTGCAAAGCTCTCTCATAGTTTTGAGACAAAGACATCTATCACTGACCGAACATACAAAACCCTATAGAACTGTGTGGGTGCAGATCAGTTACCTGTGTTGTGTAACTACCAAATTTCAAAACATCCAAAACATAGTCTGCAATTGTAAGCTACTTTGCAGATGAAAAAAATAGGTTGGCATCTTCTTTTCGTCTTTCTGATATATCAAATAATTTTAGGACTTTTTTTTTCCCAAATAAAATTCAGGTCCTATCTACCCTTTATTTAGAACTATGAAGGACTGAAACCAGTGTGCAATAGAAACCTAAAGATAATGAGAAGTATTCTTCTCTAAATAACTAAAATCAAATGTTTGTTCAAACCTGTTCATACAAAACATCCTTTAAAATAGTTGAGAAAAATCTCATACTTCAAATTGGAGGGGACTCCAGGATGTCTCAACTCCAAACTAGTGCTCAGTTATGGTATCAGACCAGATTGTTCATGGCTTTATATGGTTGGGTCTTGAAAACTTCCAAGCATGAAGACTGCATGACCTCTCTTGCCAGCCCACTTCACTGATTCACCGTATTCATGGTGAAAAAGTTTCTTCTATATCCAGTTGGAGCCTCTCTTGTTTCAGTTTATGCCTACTGTCTCTCATCTTCCTGCCACGCACCTCTGAAGAGTCTGACTTGATCCTCTCATTAACCTCCTCGTAGGTATTCAAAGACTGCTATTAGGTCCCCCCAAAGCCTTCTCTCCTCCAGTATGAAGAAGTCCCATTCCCTCAGCTTCTCCTCACAGGCTGAGTGCTCCAGCCTCCTGACCATCTCTGCTGAATTTGCTCAAGTTTATCAATATCTGTCTTGTACAAGTTAGAAGCTGAGGCAGCAAACAAGACACATACTATTCTTCTCACAAATTCAAGAAACATTAGAAGTGTCATTCCTATTACTTGAAAGTTCATATTCTCATACAAATACATGAATGTACCTAGCAGTGTATTCAAGATCCACATATTCTAAAGGGTTTTTCTTCTACAATGTTAAACAACAAAACTGTTTTTCTTCCCTATAAAACTGTTTTTCTTCCCTATAATTAATTTTAAACAGGAGTTTGAGGAGGGACAGGAGATTAGTCAAGTAATATAACTAGCTCAAAGTGACAATCTGCTTTGTAGATTCCCATGTTGTCATAGGTAGGTACTTCTTGGATCATCAAATCAATTTCTTTGTACTGTGGACACAACCATGCTGCATAAAATAGTAAATAAATTCATGTTTCACTTCTAAATTATAATTTTCCCCACAACTCTAATTACAAGTCTGTTCCAAAATCCAACTTAAAGAAAGATCAAATCCTGAAGCTGTTTAAACTCCGCATCTGGGTATCAACGTATTTTTTAATTTAGCTTTTGAGGATTAGAACAAAGCCTATTATCTTATTCTTAGCATTAAGATGAACTGCTTCTCCCCAGGAATTTTCTAATAAACAGCCTGAGTGTTCGTAACAGAATTGATTAAATGCTAGATAAATTTTCCTCTTCATACCTGGATCTTGCAGATTTGTGGTGCTGACAGGTTTCTTTAGTTCATACCCCAAGAGATACAGAGCAAGGCTGGGAGGACTACACTCAAGAGAAGTAATAAGGAGATTCAGAATATGGATCCTTGTTTCATGATGGATTCGTGCCCGCTTCTTTTCAGGCTCCAGCTCTTGATTTTTTTGTTGGGAAAAAAAAAAGAAAAGAGATTAGGTGAATAACAAAGAAATCCATTTAATGGAATAAACCTCAGAGCCTTCAAGTTAAGTACAAGAAAGCTAAGGGATCAACTTATATTTGTACAGAGGGATACAAGACCAAAATTTCAAATTACTATTAATACAGCTCTGAAGAATACATTCAGAGCAATGTTAAATACTTGTCTTCCATAAACAGACTCAGTTTATAGTTGGCTTATCATACTGTGGATATATTTTAAGACATTGGTGCTTGTCATTCTGTCAAGGTCCAATTCTACAGAAAACAACACAAGAGAAGAGTATTCTGATTTAAAAGCACTTTCTTCACCTCTTTCATTAACTTCATTCTACGCAAAAGACAACAGCGTAAGTCATTTTTAAGAAGCCTTTTACATACCTTCATCTGGATTAATTAATTCTTCTGCATCTTCATTGTCCAAACATTCCACAAACCCAGCCATCAGCTTCTGGCTAATACTCTGTATTCAACAACAGAAGGATGGAAATGAAAAGGATTTTAAGAGTATTAAAAACAATATCTTTCATTATTCCCTCCACATAAGTTGACAGAAGTTCTAGATAAAAAAAATATAGAACCTAGTTAATAAGCAGGAGTTAAAGAGTTGAAGCTGTTCTAAGCACAGGATAGCAATTAGCCATTGAACAGAAAAAAAAAAATCTACTTTGTTACATATGCTAAATTATCCTTGCAGGACTATAAAGACAAAAAAAGTCTCGGTAACTCAAAGAATATTGTCCTTTTCCTTCTTGCAAACATTCATGATTTTGTTTTTTTCAGTTAATGAAGTATTTGTTTTTCACAATGCCACAGTAAAAGACTTTTTAGAGGTAGGCAGATATAAGTCAAAACATAGTTTAAATATACTTGTTCTAGAAACCTGCCCTTTAAAGTAACATTATGAAACATTGATATTTCTCCACCAGTTTCTCTTTCCAGATCCAAAGAAACTAGCACTTACCTGATCATGCGTGAAATCATCAACAAGCTTTATCTGGATGTTGGAATTATAAGAAATACAGCACAAAATCTTGGCACTTTCAAAACCCAGTTCAGGATTGCTGTTTCCATGATAAAGATACCTTAAAAAATACAAGATTATTGCAATGAAATTGCTAGGAGTGTTACTATTTCAAGATAGTAATACACAGATGAGAAATTAACATTTAGAACTAAAACATTTACAAATCAAACTACATAAGAAAACGTTAAAGATACAAACAAAATTTCACTCCACATGAAGCACTTAACACTCCTCCATCAAAAGCAGGGTAGGAGGCCGAGTAGGGATAATAATGTCTCCTGGAATTTTTACCTTTCTTTTTGTCCAAAATCTACCTCAAACACTGCAGTATAAGTTAAAACAATTGGTCAAAGGTGCACACAAGAAACATGGAGAAAATACCTTCAGATCACACAGAAATGAGCATCACTGAAGATCAAAACTAGCTAAAATGAACTACTGTGTTTACCCAAAATAGGCAAGATTAAAAAAAGAAATTTAAAAGTATCTTAAAAGGCATGCTTTTTTTGAACTATTTGTTGACTATTGTTATGTGAAAAAGTAATATAAATGAACAACAAAAACACACATGTAGAAAAAGTTCAATTTTTTAGTCCATTCCATGTCAGAATATCACTGCTTTTTATGCACTCAATTCTACTCTTCATCAATGTTGCTTTGTATGTAAAGTTATTATAAAACCAAACAGTAACAGAAGGTATCAGTGGGAAGTGGAAATCCTAAAGTTTCACATTTGAAATAGAGTTTCAGATTACTGGCCTGATACTTTGAATATAGTAACTAACAGATTATACTGTAAAACATTTAAGTGGCCAAGAGCAACCAAATGAAGTTCTATTCTCCCACCCTGTGACAGCCAAAGTCTGGGGCAAACTGAAAGTTACATGCAAGGGAATCACTGCACATAAGGCAACCAGGAAGAAATCATGAGGGGTAAAAATTCAGAAAGGAAAACTATAAATGCAGATCCCAATCTTGCGCTAGACAATAAAGAGATCATGCCACCTGCAAAGGCACCTCTCTCCACCAAGAAAAAAGTTACTGTGCGCAAAGAGAAGCATCGGCTAGTAGAACTACCGAAAAGACCAGGATTCAAACACTTCTGTGCCTCCAGAACTCCTCCCTTCTCAACACTTTACACATACCTAGCAATATTCACCACATGATCTGCCTTTTTAGTGCGAGGATTGATCCCTTGAAGCAGTTGCTCCAGTGGCGTGACAATAAGGGAAAGGTGGCTCTCCCGCAACAGATCCATAAAAAGATTCTCCTTCTGCAGGGTTAAGTTTAGAAGCGCAAGGCAATGCTGTACAGCTTTCTCTAAATGCTTCTTCCCTACGGTGCACAAACAACAAAGAACCATAAGAAAAACAAAGGAGCAGTTAAATAGACTACATTCATAAACCTCATTCATCAAGCCTTGCACCAAGAACTTGTCAGTTGTTTACTACTAGGAGAATTTCCCCAAAACCACAATTTTTATATGCAAGGGAAACAACATGAAGTTGAAGATATGCAATAGCAGCTTTAAATACTACTTAGTGTGCATTTTAACTTTACATGCAAAATAAATTCTAGGCACATACCAGGAAACGGAGCATACATATCGAGCTGCTTAACCCCTTCTTCTAGCAAACTAAGGGACAATTCCAGCATGGGGGATTCATTCAATAGATGATACATCAAATTAAATCCAGGTGGCTTATATGCTATTATTTCTTCTCCTAAAGAGAGGAAGGGGAAAAAAAAAATTAGCGTCCAATAGAAAAGACTTCCATTACTCAAGCTAGCCTGAGCTACAAAACATAACAGTCCCTGTTGTTGTAAGCAACATCTAAATAAATGAAAAGTACTGCATACAAGGTCTTCAGAGGTTTTCTTTACACTTAAGCCATTTAGGCAATTTTAAAAGTTCAGAAAGAGTAGTAAGAGCAATTACCATTACTTTTCAATATCTAATAGTATAATTGCAACTTTAACCAGTTAGACTTTCCCTAAGCAGATCTGACCTTGGATTCAAGTCTATGCCAGGACTTTATACCACATTGGAGCTACAATAAATGGTTTTGCAAGACTGAAAAGTAACTGGATAAAGTTGACATCCCCCCAAACCTGCATGAACACCCTGGATGAGGGAAAAAGCATTTCCCAAAAATCAAAGCTGAGAAGGTCTACTGAAACCCTGATGCTCATAGTGTACTTGCATGTCTGTTACAACAATGTATGCAAAAACGAAACTACTAGCCTAAAACTCAGACTCTCATAAAACAAAATAAAAGGGAAAGTCAAGACTAATGTTTCTGGTATCTAATATCCTAATAAACTATGCTGGATAAAAGCAGGAAAGCAGTAAGAATCTTCCTTAATATGTAAGTGACAACGAGGGTGCAGTTTCTTTTGGCATCAGCTTAAACTGATGGAAGTTTCTCCTTCCATTCATGACAAATTTGTGCTGCCCCCTAATATGCCAACAGACATTCCACAACACTGTGAAGCCACACACTGAATCAGTTCAAGAAATGGATCTAGTCAAAAAGATCAGTTTTAACCCATTTCTCCACTACGTAACCCACAAATAATGACACAAGCTGAAGGACTAGCTGAGGACAGGAATAAGCTAAGAGGAATTGCTCAAGCCAGTAAAGCTGTCAAGAACTGTTTGTCAAAGCACAGGGCACAGAGGCCTCCTAGATCGAGGCAAGCTCACAGAAGAGGCATATCTTAAAGTTGTTCACTTAAGAAATTATTCTAATAGCTTTCTACTGCTACATGCAAAATCACTGGCATCAGGATTGGCAATGTTAAGAAGAAACTTTGTATTAAAAAAACCCAACACAATCTGCAGCCCAAATAAGCCTTACATTTCCTATAACAAGACAACTACCACCTACTTTGTCCTTTTAAAGACTAGTTGTCCAGAATTAAATGAGTTCAAATCATAATTCTACTGGTACTGTCTTCTCTGAATAAATATAACAATAATATTAATATTAGAGGATATATCAAATACATTGAACACCTGTAAGTTAATCCTATGAATAGTGGTGATTTAGATATAGACCAAAGAAATCCAGAGTAACAAGCCCAAAACCAAGGGTTTTTTTAAGCATCAAATACTGCTGTTTAATCAAATCAGCAATGCAAGAGAGACAAAAGTCACCCTACTAGTAGAGCTAGAGAAGTAGGAAATAGTGTACATGAAGCCTTACTGAATCAGCAACACAGCTCCTCATTGCATGTGGACATTTTTTGAACATCTTCCTATCTTAAAGCCTTGGTCTAGCTTTCCACCAGCTTGCAATATTAGACAAGATCACAGAATAGAGGCAAGAGAGCAAAGCAAGTTACAATTCTGTTTGTCTGAGAATAAATGAACAAGTTAACCTTGTAATTCCACATATTGGTCCACAAAGTCTTCAAGTTGAGGTTCATAGTCCCGCAGCAATTTGTAAAACACTTCCAGAACTACCTCAGCTACTTCCCACTGTAGATAATCACAAAATGAAGAAAATGTCACACACAGAATAAGACTGATACTGCAGCAAAAGGACCAGAATGACAAAAGAATACAACAGGCAGCACAGTGATGTATTGGATCAGAAACATGGCATGACTACCTAATTCTGAAATGCTATCCAACACCACTTAATTCATCATGCCAAACAAGTTGAAAGGCCAAGCTTTCTTTTTGAAGTAAAATGGAACAATAAACAGATTTATTGCCTATTTTAGGTTCTATTATACAATATACATACCAGTATATTGAAACTACAAGCAATAAAGAGTCTTTATTAGGTATACAGCTAATAATAGATCATTAATTGCTTCCAGGATACAGTTTAGCATGCACTTTCATCCAGAAGCACCATAAAGGAAACTAAAATTTCTTGGCTCAGCAAGTCAGAAACGTTCTCTGAAGCAACAAAGAGGAAAGAACAAATCTGACTTGTAGATTTGGGAATGCGATGTTTAGAAGTCATTAGCCATGTAGTAGAGTTGCAGAATCCTGTATAGCAAATTGAAATTTAGCAATAATCTAACAACCATTTTTAAAAAAAAAAAAAAAAATATACTTTACACAGGCTCCTTAGAAGTAGTTCATAGATCCTGACGACCCATGAGTTGAAAATCACCTGTTTACAGAATCAAAACACTATCAACTGCTCCAGGTTACTTCTGCTGCATCAAACTTGCATAGCTTCTCAAACAGACCCAAGCCACATCAGCAGTGCCAAGTCATTTTAAAAAAAAGATTTTCAAACAAAAAGTACCTTTTCAGCAGCTCTCCGGTAAGCTCTGGTGCGGAATCGGAGAAACACAGAATCCCTGAGGAACTGAAGATAGGGATCAAAGCCTGGTGGGCGAAGACCTGCTCCCAAGTTAGACGGAAATGAACTCTCCACTAATGTGCTGATGAGTCGACAGAACGCACGAGTTAAAGGATATTCCTCACATCGGGACTCAATCTCATTCAATTCAACCTTCCCAAGAGAACAGCAAAAACAGGAGAAAAATCAAAGATTTTGAGAGTAGAAGAAACACATGAGAACAAAGAATATGCCATTAGTTGTGAATTACTTCACAGCGAATTGAGTTTGCTGCATTTTTGTCTATGGTAAACCACAGCCAAAGCAAAAGCAGTGAAGTAACAATATTGTCATTTCAGTACAGCAATACACCATTCATGCCTGAGCTACTAGAAGACACACCTCAACATTCACATACTTTGCTTTTATTTACCACTTTTATTAGAAGCGAAGTGAGCTTTACTAAGATGTAACAAAAGTGAGGCCCATTTAAGAAAACAGGAAAATCTTAATAAGAAGTGCTAATAAGGAATTTGAGGGTTTAGATGCCACTCTGTTACTAGTATGAAACTCGACTAGATTCATAAATAGATAAAGTTTGCAGAAATTACAAGTAGGCCTGATAGTAAATTAAGCAGCAGTGCAATGGCAGTGCCTATTCCAAGGGTTTCCTGTAGACATAGCGGCAGATGCAGCCTCTGCAAGTGTTTCCCGAATTCATACACAGACGGTTAGAGAGGCTGTCTAGGTACACAGAAGCCCTTACCTCAATACCAATTGCTTGTCTCTGGCCTGGACTTCTCACAGTTTGTAATACCTTCAAAACAGAAAGGGAAATGAAAACAGACAAACCATACATTTCACATAATCAGAGTGCATCTCCGTCATTTCTATCAGGACTAAAAGGTACTCATCACTTTTTAGCTGTAAAAAGAGGTTTCCTAAATGCTCTTAAAAGGTAAAAATCTAAGATTTTTCTATCTGAAAGGCTGAATTATATGTTGTATACTTGTATGCTTACATCCTCAAAGATCTGCATCATGTTTATTGTTAAACGAAACAGAATAGAAATACTTTCACATTAATGATTTTTGTCTTATATTGGCTAAGGGAAGACACTTTCTTTGTTATCTCTTAGAATAGTATATTTTAAGGAACATCATAAATTAGGAAGCAAAGATGGTGAGTGTTTCAAATGCTACTATTAAAAAGATATCATTATTGTCAGGGTCTTTTAATTAGTAATTAACAATAAACCAGGAGATGCAGTTCAAACGCCTCAAGTTCCTCCAAATAAAACAGCAATTAGCCTGAACCATAAATACAGACTACACAATAAGCCCATCCCATTATGATCTTTGAATTAATACCACCAAGAGCATTTTCACTTGATACTCATCTTCCATAGGATTCGTATTTAAATTTTTTCTCTGAAATCAAGACAGAAAGGAAAAGACATTTTTAAAAAAGATAGGGCTTTTTAATATATATCTGACGTCTGTCATCTAAATGTGAAAGCTGGCAACAATTTTCTATAAATTGCGATTAAATTCCTCTGAAAATTAAATGCCTGAAAGTGGAGTTTTTTAGTCAGTTCCTTCTTTCTATGAGCACCATTCACAGTAGCAGAATGTTGTGCACACACACACACAAAAAATATCCAAACAAAAAAAAGATGTAACCTGCAGAACATTTATTACTGATGACATACACTGAGGAAAAAACATAATGAATACACAGGACTGTCTGTTAGGAAACCTGTATTTATGTAAAATAAGCACAGCCAATGAAATTTCTGAGGCATAAAACCACACTGTCATTTTCAAAATAATTTCAAAGTGGAAAAAAAAACCTACATTCCACAATGGCAACAAGAACATTTAGGAGGAAATACAAGAGTATTTCAAATACACTGACAATTTCAACAGATTACAATGCTATATTTCTAAGCACTGAAAATCCCTAAAATACCTGTGTATATTCCATGGATTGCCAGAGCGAAGCAGCTATTTCAGGAGATCTTCCAAAAGCAGTAAGGGTTTCTATTAGCTCCGCTTTCAAAATAGGAGGAATGCTGCACTGCAGAAGTCCCAGAATGACCACTACTGGTGTCCACTGAGGGTGCTCACAAAGAGCCAAGCGAGCATTCTCGCTCTACAGAGTTCAACAAAAACAAAACTGCAGATTATTACTTTGAAGATTATTCATGTCTTACCATCTCTAACTCACAGCTCAGTATCAACAACTCTGCTTCGTACTTGAAGGTACACAAAACATCAGAAGAATGGCAGACCATTCCAAAGCAAACAATTTTAATTAAACAAAAAGACCAATTTAATGACTCACGAGTACTAAAATTGTGCCTATCCATACAGAAAAATTAGGTTCATAATATAAGCTTCTTATAACAACCCAATTATTTTTTTTTTTTAGTAGACACATATTCATGGAATTAGTCTTAAGTAAATTTAAGTATTTACACTCTAGATGATTTCTTCAAGCACTGGTAGAGCAACTTGCATCAATATTTCTATTATGAACTTAAATTGCATTTGGACATTTGCTAGGAACTTGTATGAATTTGTTTAAGTCTAAGAGCAGGGTCATCGCCACTGTAAGCTCATTTGAGGCTCTCAGATGAACCACTGGACAGGAACAAGCCTCTAGCTTCATCAAATGATAACTCCTTGCATCCTTAGAACAAATTTACTTCTTCCCAGGTTATGGTTTGATGATGCCAGGAAATATCAGTTTTAAGAGTTGCTTTTCCCCCATGCTTATCCAATACTGACATGAAAGTGTACAAAAGAACAGCCCATTATCACCACCACCAAGGATGATTTTTGGAAAGCCTAATTAACTTCACTGATCTGTCTTGTGTTTCTGCCAGCAAAACCAAGGGTATCTGACTACATCACTGAACTTTTAGGCTGCAGAGTCTGGTGGGTACTGAAGAGCTGAATTCCACACTCTCCAGAATTACCCAGACAATTCACAATACAAAATCTGCATTGCCATTTTATTCTTTTGGAATCCTCTTCCAAACAATTCATAGCACATTTGACAATCTTGGTTTGGAACATTTTAAAACTAACTCTAGAGGCAAGTTTCATAGTTGATGAGTTTCCTTGCCAAATTTATACTATTTCCTTTTAAATTCATCTATTATTTTTGCCTTTTCAAACTTAAAATTAAATGCAAAGAACTTTCCTACTCTGCAGTCATTTCTTCTGAATATACCTCACTTCTGAAAGACATATCCATGACATCAAAGCATTAGGAAAACAAGAAAGTCAGTAACACCAGCAACACAGGAAAAAGTGTCTCCTCTTCCTGCTTCATACAGGCTGAATGTTCGGTTATAACAGTTATTCCTGATGGTTCCCATACTTTTGAAGTTCACTAATCAAATGACAACAACTGCTAAGTGAATTTGCCCTACATACCTTTTAGATCAAGCGAATGTCACAGCTGAATGATGATGTTTTGCAAGAAAACCAAATTAAAGGCTACTTACCCAATTTACTATAACAGTGGTCAGCTGTAAAAAGGCAATTAATCCATCCTGTTCTTTCTGTGTGATTCCTCGGAGAGGCAAGTGACGATACTGGACAGTGTCTGCACTTGGCAAGTCTTTCCTTAAGTGCTCATGATAAAGCATCAAAGAGTGGAAGAAATGCTCCCAGGAGACAGGGCTGCCACCTGCTCCTTGGATGTTTTCCACTAGAAAAATTACAAATAGGTGACAAGATTTTCTTCCTACTCTTTCACAGGGTATCAAACAGGGTAGTTAAATTTAAAAGGAAACCTTTCTTATCTAGAGGGAAAAATAAAGTTCAAAGTAAAGCTATTGTTTCTGAAATTAGTGGTTCTGGTTTGTTTTTTGTTGTTGGGTTGTTTGGCTTTTTTTTTTTTTAATAGAGACAGAAAAGTGCTGCTATGAAAAGCCAATACAAATATGTTTTTCATTTTATGAATCTGAACATTTGCAGCACTATTTATATCTGCAAAGTAAGGGTTTTTCTAATTTGATCAATATAACATTAATGCAAAACATAGGACTGACCAGCATCTCCTACTTAGAGAAAGTGCTAGTATATTACAGGTATCAAAAAATTCTAACAGAACAAAGTGCTTCTTAAAAAGTCAGATATACTGATACTATAAGTTATAAAGATAACTATATTTACAAAATATACAACTTTGAGACATTACTCATTTTATATTTTACAATAAGCACTATTGATATTCTGCAACTTTTATGGTGCTAAGACACAGCTTTTTAAAAAAATGCATTATTTCATTATGTGAATTACTTGCTAAGGTGCTTGGACCTTTAATTACCTAATCAGTCTTTTTTTTTCCCCCAGATTACACTTTCAAGTGAGGCCTTCCAATTTCATCTTTGTAATACTAATGAAATGTTAAAAGTATGAAGCCACGATCAATCTCAAATGAGTCTTCATACTTTTCTAAAGAAAAAGTGTTGAGAAAGAGCTGAAATGTCACTTTTCTTACCATGACTACTGCCATTGACTTTTAGCAAACTAAAGCAGTAATGGGCACACTGAGGCCCACTAGCCAGTCCCCGCAGCATTTTCAAGTATGGGATGTAAATTGTGGAAGGAAGCAGATCTCCCATTTGCCTAACAAACTTTGACAAGACAACCTAGAACAAAGAAAGATTAGTGTTTAAAAAAAGAAAAAGAATTAAATCTGAGTATTTTAGGAAAACAGTTGGCAGCCAAAGTCAGAAAACAGATTCTAATGTAATCAGGGCAGGGTAGAGGGGCAGAATCACAACTCCAAAAGAAAAAAAAAATCCTTTTAGACTGGTCTATTCAGGTTCCCTGAAGGTGAAAAACGTGTTTCAAAGAGGAAATAAACAAAACAAAATAATTTGTGCTATTGCAAAAGTATACTAACTCTCCAACTCTGCATTTCTAGTAATAAAATTGACTTCAGCTCACAAATGCTGCGCAGCAGTGTTATTAACACAGCTCACAGTGCAAGTTAAGTGATATTGGGACAGAATTCACTACGCTTGTCATATCCCTGCACGGTAACTCGCACACCCAGTGGTTCCTCCAAGGGTCACATTAGGGTGTCTGCAGATTGCCTCAGGCTTAACTTGTCTGTATTATGGGTGGGTCTTGGGATGTGTACGATACGTCTCGCACTAGGTTTTGCCTAACACGGCACAGTCCTTTAAGAAGCATTGAATGCTGACAGCACCCCAGGTATCCAATGAGTTTTGGAATGCCTGCTTCATCTGTTTAGATTGCTTTTTCATTTTAATTTTGAGTTCTGTCTCCCACAGGCTATAACCTTTGGGCTTTAAATAATTACAATATTCTTACGGATTTTTACCCCCCAAAATACTATCAACGACAGTTAATAAAGATTTTTTTTAGTTAAGGAATTTAACTTCTCAGTTACACCAAAAAGCTGTACCTAGTGGTCATCAGACAGAAAGACACCAGAGCATTGTTATCAGAATTCATTTAGCAACTGCAGCAAAATCAGACCTAAAGAAAATTTTCAAAGATGTTTTTCAGGACTCTTTCTTACTAGGTTTATTGACAACCATGAATAACTGGTGGTAGCTCATTTTAGAGTAAGCAACAATAACCATGCCATACGGAGCAGGACACATGCAGATAAACCACTGATAAAAGATACTGTCTTCTTAGAGGCTAGCTGTAATAAGGATACCAAAAACTCTGTTTCCTGTTTTTTTTTTATTATTTTAATTTCAAATTACTAGTAATTACTCAAGAAAATCTAGATAACCTGGCGCTGAGGGGGTCGCTGATGAGCAACTCCAAGGTACGACCCCATGATGGTAGACGTCTGCAAAGGTTCTGATGGACACCAGTATTCAAGGGCAAGTTCCAGATTAAAGGGGTCTTTCCTATACAATTCAGCAATCTATCAGAGAAAGGAAGATGTTAGAAAAATATAAACGATATGAAGAAAAGATGAATACTTCAACAATAAGCATTGCTTCTAGATAAGCTAAACACATCTGAGAGGCAAAGCATCCCACGGCTGGTGTTCTGTTCCTTAAAACTCTCTGCAAATGACAGCTTCTAAATAGCAGTATCAGAACAAATGACAGCCAGAAAAATTCAAAATGCACACATAAGTGAAACTTTCATAACTTTCTATCTAATTATTATAGATTAAATCATCACTAAGAAGACAGTGTCATTTCTCCTTAAATAACCATTTGCATACCTTGATATATTAACTTAAAAACAAGTTAGCCAGTATCGGGATTAGAAGTCTTCTCTGTTATCCGAACATACAAATTCCTCAGAAGAAGTTTTCATCTCTAGCTCTTCATTTAAGTTTACTCTCTCTCTCTCTCTGAGCTACTTACTTAAGAAAGCATTTCACTGTATATTTTCCTGTTAATGTCCTACAACTTAAAGGACTACTGTTGGAAAAGACAGGTCATCCCTACATTAAAGAATGCTATATTGACAATTGCACGCTTGTACATTTTCACGCTAAGTAAGGGAAAATACACGTTTTTAATTTATTCATGAACAGAAAATATGAAATGCACTAGTTCGATATGTAAATCTGTTTTCTGATGTGGGTTTTTTTTTGAAAGTGCAGTTAGGTAACCTTAATAACTAATATTTAACTAAACATATTTATTTACATTTTCTTTCAATTTTATTTTATTTCAATTATCTTTTTATTAATAAATATGACAGAAAGAGAAAGGTCCTTCTTTTAAATATATGCTTGCAGTCAAAATTATACTGAAATCAGAGAATATGTAATTCCAGCAGCCTTATTGGGGTCACCTTGTCTAGCCTACTCTACGGCAAATACAAAACAGACTTACAAAATTCTCATTACAAATATAACACCACATGAAAATTATTTAAACATTTCAATTATTTATCATGAGAATTGTCAATAGTGGGGGGAAAACCCCTAAAGCCTAATTATAGTTTACCCACAGTAAATAAGGAGAAATTCCAAGACTTATAGAAACATAAACCACTGTGTAAACATTAAGGTCTAGATACAAAAAGGTGTTCCATTCCAAAGAACTTCCATGCATTTAGCCAGATCTCAACTTCAGTAATAGCCATTAGTCTTAAAATTCTTATTTCTAAGTTACATTAAAATAAGATGGCTTAAGATAATAGATATGTTAAGATAATCTTATTATAATTTAAATTTTAAATATTTAAATACTTTGCAAAATAACTTCAGCTCAAGAATTCTTCAAATCTAAGAGACAATGCAGTATTTCCTTACTAAACAAGAATTAAATGACACTTCATTAACATCAAAAGTCAAGGCAATAAATCAATTCCTTTACAAGAAAAGTTAAAGAAAGTGTCTATGTTTAAGAAAAAAAACAACCTTTAATCCAAAAAGGGAAAGATCCAGCACTGTATGTTAATATTCAGTTGCAATAACTTTTTGCCACAGTAATTTAAAAGAAAATAGGGCTTACTAAAAGCATTAAATGTTCCAGATCTCTCCGAAGGGAAATAGGTGGATCATTACCCATCTGAATACTCATGTGAATCATGCGAGCATCTTCATCGGCACGGTTTCTCAGTTGTTTTACCTACACAGTTTATGAAGTGGAGAAAAACACTGGTCTATATTTAGCCAAGAACAGAACAGCACTAACGGAATTGTCTAAACAGCCTAGTAAAAACTAAGAAAGCAAATGAATTTGCATATACGTGACAAGAATATTTAACCGTTTTTTATTTAATCTCCGCCCCCCCCAAGAGCTTACATTCAAAGATATATTCAATCACTTTCCTACTGCCAAGGCCCTCAGTTCATAGAAAAGCCCTGAAAGTACACCGTGGCAGTTTTTCCAAACTCACTTCACCAGATCCTCTGGTTTGGCCCCAAAAGGTGGATCCTTTTCCTGTTTTTACTTCAAAAGCTAGATGGGTTAGCTTCAAACAAAGTTAGACTATTATCCACAAGGAATGAAAGGAAAACACTGTAAAATAATGTTTTCTGTATACAGATCTGTGGATTGCATCTTTCTTAGCCATTTAAGGCTACTTCTACCTACAGCTACTTTATGTTTTGAAAAATTTTAGATTGATGTAATTACTTATGGACCCGGTCTGTCACAACTAAAAGCATTATTGCATGTCAATAAATACAATACTGGAAAAATTAAAAAAAAAAGAGAGAGAGAGAGAAGGGAGGGGAAGAACTGCAGCAATTTAAAAAAATAAAAAAGACCTTTAATTGGTATCCTAAAATTCTTTGCGTGAAAAAAAATTAAACAAAAACAGTTAACATTTAAGGTCAAAAAGCCTTTGATAAAACACTTCATCAGAGGCTTATAGAAAGCAAATAGCCATGAGATGAAAAGTTAAGTTTTGTTAAATATTAAGCAGACATTGAGGGACAAGAAACAGAAATAAGCAATGAATTCAACACACCAAAAATTAAAACATAGTGATGGTCAATAAAGATCGGTTCATGGACTACAATATATCTTCATTTGCAAAATAATTGTGCCTCATCAAGAAAAAATAGTTAAAAACTAGAAATAACTGTGGAAAGGGTCAGAGGAAACTAATTAAATTAGTATACTAATAAAATTAATACACAGACAAAATTGAGTGTTGATAAATGAAATAATTAATTATCTGAACTACTAAAGCTTAATATAGAGTGCTGAATGTAATGCAGTCAACCAAAAGATTTACCCAAATAATCACCGGCAAGCAGCATAAATGTTAAACCTATACAGAAGAGTTAAATAAAATGCTGACTTACAGATTTAAATAAAACTGAACAAAGGTTATATATATACACAAAAAAACTCAAAACACCATCCTGCGAAGCAGACACTTCTCTTTACCTAAAATTTGAGATTCAGTAGAAATAGCTGAGTACATAAGGCAACCACTAACTAACAGCAGTTAAGACAAAAAATTCCCTTGTAGTGCTATATCCCAATTGCCTGCTAACAAAGTCTTTCCTGTAAAACAATTAGTAGTGGCCTCTATCACACTGGAATACAAGTCAACGGTCAGAATTTTGTTTATATGCTGTATTACAAAACCCTACTTGTAATGAAAAATACCTCTTCACCTTTAGGCATTAGCTACAATCAACTGCAGATCTGAAGCAAAAAAAAATGAAAGGGAAGAGAAGTACTCTTCCCAGAGATAAAGCCTCCAATTCCATAACGCAATGAAGACGAGAGATGTACCAACCAAACAAACAATAGTCTTGGGATTTCCAGGCAGTTCTGTGCATACGGGAGACATCTGTTTTAAATCTAATCTGGTAGCAACCTCGGCCTGGTTCAGTCTCCAGCTCTTCCACCTGCATTCAAAAACTACCTTACATTTCTTTCATAAAAACCGGTATCATTACAGGGAGACATTTCATCTTTTGTAAAGCAATACCATCCAACAAAGAATTGCCTCATAAAAAAGTTCCCAGTTCTAAGCCTGTTTGCACTTGATTGTTTAAGGAACTTCTATAAAATATACTTCACATATTCCTCATATAATCAAAAGGTTCCTAAGGGCTACTGTGTCTGTATTACAGAAAACACCATTGCAAACAGCCTTCAAAGGATGCCCAAAGCCTCTTAACATGCTAAGTGTTGTATGCAGGCAGCCACTGCAGCAGAAACGTAGCTGTAAAGTTATCAACATGAACTTGTTTGAACTTGTTCTATGGATATTCTGTGGGTTAAAAAAACAGCTTGAGAAAACAACATGGAACACCAACAGATTATAAATAAATTAGCATTAAACCTAGAAGCTGTCTAGAACATGTCCATATATGCCCTCAAAGATTCTTAAGGCTCAAAAATTGTTTTTCCTGTAAATATTGTTCTCATTCTGCGAGGTTACAATGAACAAAATATATTTTTAAATCTTTCTTTTTGCACATTGAAAAAAGTAACTATTTGGCCACTCCAACTACAGTCCAACACAATGAAGGTCATAAAATAAAGCCTCCATTAATTAAAGTGTTTTCATGAAATTTTAATTTTTCATGTCTAGATACAAGGTCTTGCACAAATGAAGCTGTTGTAATTGCTTCCAACTTTTTTTAAAAACACCTTTTGCAGCATTTCTACTGTTGTGTTGAAAACAGCATCTCATTTTCCCAATGACTGATACTACTGAAAAAGCAGAATCCCTCCCCTCAAAAATGGAAAAGATCATTAGTAAAAGAATAAGTTAAAAATGAGAGACAAAAAAAACATACGTTAGTTTAGGTTACACTACTGTCTGTATCAAAAGAAAAAACAACCACAAAATCAATACCTGCATACATTGTCATCAATTTCAGCATTCATTTAAATTTTAATCAGGTAAAACAAAACCAAACCACTGCCACCACAAAAGTTTGCTTTGCAAATCTCATCACACTGAAGTGTTTTAAAAATTACATTCTACTTCAGTGTGGAAAACAAACCCCAAACCACACGGGTTCCATGAAGTCAACAAGTTTTCTGAACTGCAGCACCTCAAGCTGAGGGTCGTTATCTGAATTTCTATGCCACCTGTCCTAATGTTGGAAACATCAAAGAGATGCCTGCACTTCTCAACAACTGCTATTCACACAAACCACTTACTTTCATGGGCATGAGTGCAAGGAAGTCTGTGACAAGGTTATGAATTTTGCGAATGTAAAATTCCTCCTGGTAGAAATTTTCAGACCCCACAACAGATTCAGTCAGGAACAAGAAGACATTATCAGCAACTGCTAGCTCTGCCATTGCTTCATCTGCCTCAGTGAATTCTGCAAGAGCTGTGCAACAACAACAAAAAAAAAAAAAAAAAAAA